AGTAGACATGAAACAACTAATTTAGTCGTTTAAAATATAGACGTAAAAGTCAAAGTGATCATTCCATTCCGCTTTGTGGCTCCAGCGGTATAAATCGCGACAAGGCTAAGGATATCTCTAGCGGCAAGCATAAGAATAAAAACTTGCGATCACACTCTTATCCACAGTTAAAATCGATGACATGCCTTGCATCCAATCCATTTTTAGCACATCTTCAGTTGTTTACTCACTGTGTAGCTCCCGCACACAAACCCTCTCTTCTGAGTGTGGGCAAAAATTTCTCCGCGCCATTCCAGGCTGATTCAGCTGGGATGGTAGTAAAGTCTCCTAAACGGCCAGTCTATAGTTGGCCACTAGGTCACGTTGACGTCGCCTTCGTCCGCACCTAAAAAGCATTGGGAAAGGCGGGAAACTCGCGCTGACCTGCCGCAATGGGCGAGGTCTAGGCAACATCTTAAGTGGCCAACGTATAAGGTGGCACTTGCCTAGACGGCGAACCTGGCAGAGAAAGGAGAAAGTGCATGGAGATTGCAGAGTAGAGGACGACTAAAATGTACCCCTGAGTATATTTTAGTCGCCATGCACTTTCCCCTTTCTCTGCACGTCATGCATTGGTCGCATTGAGCGTCTCTGCGTCCCTGCCATGCGCAGAGCGCAGGGAAGAAAGGGGTTCGTGGAAGGTGTTGAGTGTGGGCAGCAAGAATATTGATAACTTTCTGCCAATAAGGTGATCAGCTGTCCCCTGCAGTGTTCCACTTATTGATCGTGTTATAGCTCCTTCCTTGGTCCTGGGAGCATTTCACCCCTGTACAATCATCTAGGCCATGATCCCACGTTTCAAACACGTCGATTGGCGCAGTGGGTTCGTTCCTTGTTGACATTGGATCGCTCGCGGGATCAATTCTCCATGATACTGGATGTTTTGCAACCCTCATAGGTTACTACCTTGCTTTCTACAATTCTTTCAAAGTAACCCAGCAATGCTTTGTGGTGCAGTGGCAAACGTCGCGCTCATGGGCGCTGCATTACATGGTTCAAGTCCATGGCGACGCGACTTTTGCTAGGAATGTAGTGAAGCTCGCCATTCAGAGCGGGGTCATCTGGCTGTCTCGCCTTTCATTATTCACCGTTTACGGCCGTAACTCCCAGTCTATGGCACTTTACTACTGTCCCTGGCCCTTATCAGAAGGCTGCTTTGTATCAACAGGTTATTGAAGCTCCCCTCATTGTTAGCGCTACCAACGCCCTTATCTCAATCCGCTGGGCAGAATGGAGGTGTCTTTCTAACCCCATTTTCACCGTATTCGGCCCTTTCCGAGATATGAACACGAAGTAAGATACGAATATGAAGGAGAGAGATTGGCGGACCATTACTCAGTTGACAAAACAGTCGATCACTGAAATGTTCTTCTAACTTCCAAATCTAAAAAAGCAAATAAAAATGAGCTCCACTCCACTATCTGGACTTGGACTAATAGCGAATAAAATCATATTTCCAATTTCCATCATCGGTTGATGCTGATTGATTGGTTATATTCCACTTACACACCGATTCTTCAATTGTGGGAATTCTATAAACCGCTAAATCGCCCGAGCTCGATATCAATGCTAAATGTTTACGAAGTCATGATAAGTACCATTCTCATTCCGCATGCTACTGCGCGCATTACGCGACAATCTTCAGCGAAACTGGACAACCTTAAACATCATGTGAAAAATCTTCCAAAAAAATCTTACTGTTAATTTCTCAGTCACGTGACCTAATGTTCTGCAAGTTGTCCAGTTTCACTAAAGCCCACTTGATGCGCGCGGTTGCGTGCGGAGCTAAACTGGTAATGAAATAATTAGCTCTATACAAAATTATACAAA